CCCCTAAGATTTCAGCGCTCTACCTTCTCAGATCCCCTAGTTATGAACTTACCCGAAGAAAATTTTGGCGGGTCCGTACGTGGGTGTTGGCACCCATTTTGGGGATTGGGACCGGCACGTGCAAGTAGATTAAGTTCCCAAAATTTCAGCCCCACAGCTTTCATAGGTCTTGAGATGAAACTGCGTGACAGTCGCACACACAGACACACGGACACACAGACAACCCCTCGCCAATATGTGTTTTCTGCATTGCATAGCTGCAAAAAACGCATAAAAACTGGAATTTCAAATTTAGAAGTCAAGACTTCCTCCGAGTCCGCTTCTTGTGACAGGCAGAGACTTAGCCGGACAGAAGCAAGTGCCAACAGCAACTACCTGCTGATCAGGTTGTCGATAGCAGCTTCTTCCGAGGATGCTTTGAAACAAACTGATAGGGGTATGACTCCCTATCATGCGTATCGAAACTAATGCGCGGATGGCGGAGGGATTGGTTGTCTCATGGATGCCTCAAAAAATAGAATAAACGAAAATACCGAAAATATTCGATGCTGGCCATCGAAACTACGGAGATTATTACTAAGAAATGATACAGGAGTGTACTAAGCTCAGCTAGCAGCAATGCTTATGAACCAGATTTCTGGCCGCTGGCCTGACCTAATAACACTATGCAGACATTTAAGTCGGGTTCATTCGAGGAGTTTTTTTTGCCTTGAAAATGATATAAGGCAAACCAGAATAAATGTAATTTCTCAAATGTCTGATCAGCTGGTGCTTGACCCTTAAGTAACAAACGGTTTTCGTCCCTCAGTTTATACCATTGAGATCCACAGTCCCACAATGCTTTTTACTAGCAGCCAAAATTACCGAAATCGCCCTAAGAAGCGGCTTTTTTGGGATCTGATTTTGCCGGGACGTATCCATAAGTCAAATCCTGTCATGTCAAACCTCTACTACTGTGGTACATGCTTCCAATAAGTACTCACCACTTTTATGGGCTTTTGTGCGCTTTTTGTGCGTATACAGTGCAAAAAAGCATGCTGTCGAGGAGTTTTCTGTGTATGTGTGTGTGTGTACGTGTGTGCGTGCGTGTGCGTGTGTGCGTGTGCGTGTTTGTGTGCGTGTGCGTGTGTGTGTTCGTGTGTACCGATTTTTCATCTCGAAACCTGCAGAAGCTAAAATGCTGAAAATTTAGAAATTAATATGCATGCAAGTATGGGCCCGATTTCCAAAATGGACACTCTTGCCCACATGGTGACTAGTGAAGGTTTTTTTTGCGAGTATATCCAACTCGGGAACCAGAAAAACTAGAAAGCTGAAATTTCAAGGGGATGTTTTTGCGACAGTCCTGGTGGCTGGTTTCGGTTTTTCAACTAGAAGCATCTGCCGGAAAAAAGAAGTGTCATTAGTGATAAAAACCTGCAAGTAACAGTGCAAAAAACGCATCTTCACACCTGCAGCCGATGCACTGGTCAGTCATTACATGTTGTATGAACGCTAACTCTTCAGAGTTAGCAGTGTTTTGCAAGGCAGTGCTTGCTGTGTAAAAGTGCAATAAACAGGATGGGGGAGCGCAAAAGCTGCTCATTTATGCAATATTTAAAAGTGCAAAAATGATAGTTTAAAATATAAGATCAATAGGAACTGAATGTCGGAAAAGAACAATTCTGTAAGGAGTCTGTGTTTAATCCCTTATCTGCAGACACAGAGCAGTGAAAGCAAGTGAGAGATGGAATCATCAGTACAGCTTCCTACCTGCCACACAGGAAAAATAAGTCTATTTAAATGTTGAAAACTTCGTTTTAAAAGAAAACAATCTACCTTATATAAAAGAGCATTGTAGTACTGAATGGAAGAGTAGCAGCAATGGTAGTAGTAGTATTGGTAGCAGCATTAACTAGTGGCATGAGATGCGTTTTTGGAGAGTGACTAGGCTAGCTGGCACGGCAAAATTGGCAGTGCCCTCTTCCTTCCCAAGGCCAAACCTAGTAAAAAGGCCCTGTACACACGCGAGATGAACAGAGACACTAACATTAATCCTC